TACCTCTATTTCCACATACCGGGGGTGGGGGGCATGCTGTACCAGAACACGCTTTCATTTTAAGCACTATCACAGGCAGACACGGTTTTCTGAAAGGCAGGTTTTTGGACTGAAGAGAGCTTCCTTTCCATCCCATCTGTCTGGCTTTCCCTAAGCCAGTTTAAAAAAAAAAAAAAAAAGACAGACTGAACTAAGCACTAAGCAGCCTGCAGGGGGAGATCTGGTACTACAAACCAGGACTGAAGCTGCCTGCATCTCAAAGGAAGCTGACCTTAACAGGCAGTTTCTCCCTGGCTGCAGGGCCTTTCCAACCCCAGCTCTGTGCTGGGCGGTGGTGGTGCAAGCCTTTAATCTCAGAACGTGGGAGGCAGAGACAGGTGGATCTCTGTAAATTCGAGGCCAGCCTGGTCTACAAGAGCTAGTTCCAAGACAGGCTCCAGAGCTACAGAGAAACCCTATCTCGAAAAAAAAAAAAAAAAAACTATAGAAACTTGACTTCTTTTATTTCAAATCGGTGAGATTTTCATCCCAAAACCTTACCAAACAGTCCACCACACCTCCTACACTTACTGACTAATAGGTTTGGTTGTTTGTTACAGAACCCTTCTTGAGAGCAGAAGGCTGGTGCTGGCTAGGGTGAAGACAGACCTGCTGAAGGAGGAAGGGATGGTGAAGGGGAGTGGGCCAAGGGTCAACACACAGTAGCATAAAATATCACAATAAAACCCACTCACTTTAAAAACTGACAACCCTTGGTTTCCATTTTGAAGACATAAGGAACTCAATCAAGGGGCTGCAAACAATCCATGATTCCAGAATTGATGGTCTTATAAATGATAAAATCACGTGGCTAAGCCTGAGCACTTCCTTTGAGGAATCAAAGCCTTCAAATTCAGGATACAAGACCATCACGCCACATGGCTGAACTTGCCTTTTCACGGTGGTGCTCAAGACCTTGTGCGCTCTGTATTGTCTGAAATCTTAGTTTGGAGGCGTTGTTTAATTTGTCCATATCAATGGGAAAAAAGAAGAATGAATTTCTACTTAGTCTATTCAGCTGGAGCGCACAAGGACAATGGTGAGCCTGCAGACTCCGCTGCTGAAGCAGGAGTGCTGAAAGAGCACTGCTGCTCTTCAAGAGGACTGGAGTTCAATCCCCAGCACCCACATGGCAGCTTACAGCTGGCTGTGACTCGAGCTCTGGAAAATCAGGCATTCTCACACAGATGCACATGCAGGCAAGACACCAATGCATATAAAATAAATTTTTAAAAATCTAAGAAGAAAATACTAGAACTTAAGCAGATTTAAACAAGTTGAATAGTATGAGGCCAATGCAGAACACTCAACTGCTTTTATATATTAGTAACAAACAAGAAAATTCAAACTTTAAACTCGGGGGCTGGAGAGATGGCTCACAGTTAAGAGCATTGGCTTCTCTTCCAGAGGACCAGGGTTCAATTCCCAGCACCCACATGGCAGCTCACTCCAGTATGTCTGTAACTCTAGTTCCAGTGGATCCGACTCCCACACAAAGACATGCAGGTCAAACACCAATGCATATAAACATTTTTCTAAAAAATGTAAAGATTTAAACTCAGTTTATAGTACTGTGATAGTTAGTTAACTGCCAATTTGCCACAACCTACAATCAATCAACCTGGGAAGAGACTCTCAGTGAGGGAGTCCCTAGATCAGGCTGGTCTATGAGCATGTCTATAGGAAAATGTCTTGACTGTTAAAAGGCATGGGAAGACCCAGCCCACTGTGAGCAGCGCCATTCCCTAGCCAGAGCAAGCAAGGACCGACGTTTATCCACTCTAGATTGGACTGTGGATGTGATGCTTTACCTTTCTGCCTAGACTTCCCTATAATAATCAACTGTAACCTCAAATTGTAAGCCATAGAAATCTCTTCTTCCCTAAGTTGCTTTCAGTAAGGGTTTTTGAGGAAGCAATGAAGTCCCGTTGTAAAAGGACAGAAAGCAGAAAGAGCTCCGAAGCTCTGGGGAATGGCAGAAGGACCCCAACTAGGGAAGTCACAACTCTTCAGCTGCATATCCTCTCAGATCGCCCTTTCCTAGGGAAGCATCCCCCACTCTTCTCCCACGGGCCTCTCCACCCGCTACTTCAGCCCTTCCATCTAGTCTGAGGAAGACGCCTATTTCCACAGTGGCCACCCCTGCTGGCTGACAACAATGTGCATGCTTGGGCAACTTACTGAACCAGAATTGAACAGGCTGATACTTCTGAGAAGAGAAAGGGGGTGAAAGTAAGGCAATTATTTAAGAACATCTAATTGGGACATGCTCTCAAAAGCCGACGAGTACTTAAGGGTGGGCATTCCTATACACTTACTATGAGTTTTCCTGGCAGTGAGGAGTTTAGGCAGGGTGAGCAGAAACTCAATTGATAAAGATAAAAAGAGATGACAAGAGAGGTAATCAGAGGGGATGCGTTCAGCTCTCCAGCAAAGCCTACAGCCCTAAAAAAAAGGGGCTAAATGAGCATTAAGCAGCACTCTGCTTGCAAAGTTGAAGCACTGGATTCATCCTCGCACCGGGACAAAGATCAATACATATGGTGACAGAAAAAGAAAATTATCCATCTGCAAATGACAAATGTAACTGCACAGGGTTTGCAGTACAAGGCTTGCTTTGGCAGCACAGATTTCAAAACTGGAGTAACACACACCTGGAGAAGCTCTCTGTGCCCAAGGATCACACCCGAATGTGCGAAATGGTCTGTATTTTTTTAAGTCAACCTTACCTTGTGTGGAAAAAGCATGCTAATAAACTGACTACACAAATAAACTGACATGTTCACTTTCAAAAAAAAAAGGAAAAAGAATTTGCAATGCAGATGAGAGACAGTAGCTAATTTCTGTACCTGCAACTATTAAAATCAATGATATAACTACTTTTAAAAATTAGGGCTTGGGTTATAGATTAGCGGTAGAGGATTTGCCTAGCGTGTATGAGGTCTTAGGTTCAATTCCCAGTACAACAATAATAATAAATGTTAATGTGTAATATTAATATTTAATAATTGAATGCTACTAAATTAAATTTTATTAGTCACATATAAACATAAATACTAAATATTTTGAAGTTAAAACTATTTAATAAACATATAATGTAATTATATGTGATAATGGCTATTATTTATATGAAATGTTAGTTTATAATATTCATAATAATGTATTCTTATAAATCATAGTAAAGGCATGGTAAACAAGACTCCTCATAAGACTGAGTTCTGAAGCTTTTTTGCAAGAATGCATGAACTAATAAATCACTTCCCAAAGTGCAAACTGGAGATGGTCTAACTGTGTGTCAGTATAAAAATATTCTTTTGGCTTCATGGAGTGATTATCTTTTAAGAAATATACTGACCTGCTTTTTGCTGACATTACACCTGTAATCATGGCACTTGAGGATGTGGAGACAGGAGGACCAGGAACTATGGTTATCCTCAGTTGGACTAAATAGCCACTTCAAGGCTACCCTCGGCTAAAGGAGAGCCTGCTCAAAAAGATGTAAAAATCAAAAAAGTATCCAGCAGTTCTAGAAGATAAGCTAAAGGCTGACAGCCAGCCCCTGGCACAGGCTCTGGGCCACTCTCAGTTTATGATGGTATGTCGATACAGAGACAGTAGCCAAGGGTAACCAAGATGAGGAAAGAGTACAAATATTTGCCAACATCCCTGATCCATCACTGTCTAATCACCAGCTTCCTTTGTAAAATGCTTTGCTGCATCCAATACAAAGATGATAAACATGCTAGGCAAGTTGCCTACTATGGAACAATATCTCTGGCTCTCCGAATTCTTTTTTTTTTTTTAATTTCAAGACAGAGTCCTAGGTGGCCTTCAACTCATTCTGTAGCACAGACAGACCTTGAGCTGCAACCCGTCCTACCTCAGTCTTCCCAGTAGCTAGATTACAGGCCTGAACCACCAGGCCCACTCTTACTCAGTTGTGTTGTATGTACCCTGAAGAAATCAGGCACTTGGTCACCTGTTCAACAGATACCAATGTTGAGGACACACAGCTAGCCACGGCTCTGATGATGAGCTGAAATACAATGGTGAGCAAGCAGAAAGCAAATCATGGTACAACCCTTAGGTACAAAACTTTATGATATGTGACACCGCCATAGGGGGAAACTTGCCTATGATTTGTCTCGTTTGTAAAAAAAAAAAAAAAAAAAATGTTCAAGTCTTTTTTTCATTTTAAGATCCATTTTTATCTCTTTTTAATTATGTCTGTGCGTGCATGCGCGGGTGCAGGTGCTCAGGGAGACCAGAGGCAACTGAACCCCAGGAGCCAAGGTGGGTGCTAAAAAGGTCTTCTACCAGCTCTTAACTGCTGAGCCATCTCTCCAGCCCGAGTCTTTATCAAATCATTCCGTAACACACAGTGATTACATATGGGGTGGAGGGTGGGGGTTCAATGTGATTTCATTTTTTTTTAAGTTGTTAAAAGCAATAACGCAAATACTTATCTCTGCTTGTTTAAGATAGACCCGTAAGGATGGAAAGAAAAAAAATCCTCAATCAGGTATCATAAACTATAAATAGTGAGCACTGGGTGATGGTGGGTAAGAATTGTTTTTCCTACTACCCCCTGTAATCAGGTAAATGAAAGAACAAGGATGTTTATGAAGATCCTTAAATCCAACGGCAAGTTAAAGGGAAGAATGACTTTAGGAGAAGCCAAAATACAAATAGCTGGAGTTTCTAGGCTGCCCAACAGAAAAAAAAAAAAAAAAAAAAAAAAAAAAGCGCTTACTCTAACAGCAAAGATTCATTACTGGGCTGGGGGGGGGGAGCTCTTACTGGAATAGCAAAGATTCATCCATTGGCAAGCAAAAGAGGGCCGAGTGGAAGAAGCATAATTTAGAAAACCTTTTTTTAAGCACAAAGGGCGGAGTAGAGCAGTAAGGGTAACAATAGCACGATAACACTGCCATCTAGCGGCCACAGAAACTGAGACTCACCATACAGGACGGAAATATTTTCTGCTGCTTTTTGGTGAACAGCTGTAGAAATGAAGCTGGGGAAACGTAGGCGGAATGGAAAGACCGCCGAAGTCACACGTACTTGCCTAGGAGAGCGCGGCGAAGCCTCTCCGCGACGAAAGCCTGGACACCCATCCTTGCCCTAGCAATACATCAGCAGTCCCTTCCCCACCGGAAGGAAGCTGCCGGGCATAGCCTAGGATTGGCTGATTCTGCGCTTGCGCAGTTATGACAATGAGGTCGCTGCCAGTCTCTTTAATGGTTTCTTGGATGCTGCTTACGCGTCGTTTACCTATAGGCTAATGCATAGAGCTGGAGCCGCCAGATAGCCCCTGTCGCCCAATGTTCAAGCCTAGAGCCAAGTCTCCAGGACGCGCTCCTCCTACTCAGCCCAGCCTTGAATAACTGTCTTCCTCAAAGCCCTTACCCCTCTGATCATGAAGTCTTTTGGTATGATTTTACCTGTACCCTAAAAACACTGGGGGGAAAACACCACATCATTTACCAAAAGAAAGTATATTTTGAACAATATTGTACACAAATAATCTGATTTTTTTCTTTTTCTTTCCTTTTTGTATGTTTTGTGTGATTGAGCCAGGGTCTCCTGTAATGTAAGCTCTTCCCGAATTTGCAATTTCTCCAAAACCAAATCCAACTCCTGATCCTTATGCCTCCACCTCCAGGCTGCTGGGATTACAGGCCGTGTAGCACCAAGTTTGGCATTCGCAACGAATTCTTCCTGACAGTTGATTTAGCATCAGGACTTTTATTTGGATGTGCAGTTTATTAGTGTTTACTTCTCATAGGGTTTCATAATGGAGACGCCAATCTTGAGGTCAGGGCTCGAGGGAACTTTTCTACCAGTCATAGCTATTGCAGCCTTTGTTATTTCCCTGGAATCCCTTTGTTCTCTGGGCAGGCTGTTTCCTGAACTGCAATGCTAGAAGCCAGACGAAGTAGCATCCAGAGGGCAGAGATCCCTGTGTCAGGCCTAGTAACTCGGCTTACACTGCACATTTTTCTCCAAAGTTTCTTTTATTTAAACAAAGAGTATCGTGGTGAAAATTCATAAAAAGAAGCTATGTCTAGTTGTATTTATGTCTGCAGAGACTGGTGGACCACTTAGAATTTTACTATTATGAAGAGATTAGAATTTAGCAGGGTCAGAGGCTAGTAGCTTTATCATGGCCTAGTTTTAGGCTTCCTCTCCCCACTCTGTATCTGAATGAACACCTCATGATAATGAATAAAAATCTCTTAGAAGCTATTAATTTGGCACTAATATTCTGTAATAATAGATAAAAAACCTCTTAGAAGCTATTAACTAAGAACTAGTACCTTACAATAATAAATAAAAACCTCTTAGAAGCTATTGAGTTAGCAGAGCACAGCCTTCTGCCAATCCCAGAGCTAAGAATGTCATCAGATAGCAGAATGGCTCCAGAAGAAACTGTCTCCTGTTCGCTTTAGAATGGGAGCTGTGGTTTTATGTCAACTGTATGAAATCCTCTGGCCTACATGCTCCCTTGAGTCTCCTCTACTGACTGTCCCAGATAGGAAAGGAAAACACAATTAAAAGGAATTAGTAAACCTGTCCTTCCTTAGAAGAGTTGCACGCCCAGAAGGAAAATATCTAAGCATAGACAGGTCTGCTGTCGTGTGAGTTACTAAAGCAAAACTTAAGAGATTATTTGTAAACAAAAATTCCATCTTTTTAAAACTAATTTCTTAACTGAGTGTGGTGGCATATGCCTTTAACCTGTCGGAAAGCAGAGGCAGGTGGATTTCTGGGAATATGAGGCCAACTAGGTCTACATGGCAAGTTCCAAGCCAGCCAGAACCTTGTCTCAAACCTGGAACTAAATGAGTGAATAAAAGATAAAGGTAAGCCATTGCTGCCACCTTATTACATGGCGTGGCCTGTGTCTGATCTGAACCACCTAAGAAGCATTTGGACTACATGCAGAGTCGCTGAAAACTAACCGCTGGGAACATTTGAGTCCTTGTATTCACTTGTATTCACTTTCGTGTGAATGAATTTTTTTAACGATATAACTTTACCAGATAGCATACCAGGCTTTTGTCTATATATAATTCCTACTGGCATTGTAGGTTATATTACTTTATTGTAGCATTAGAACTCCTAAACTCACTTTAAAATTAGGATTCCAGAGTTCTCATCCTTGTCTACTAAAAAGTCACACGGCTACGACTGAGTATGTGCTTCAAAGCATCAAAGCTGAGGAGCTTCTGAAGTGAAAGAAACAGCCGGACGCATGTACAAGAGGAGGACTCACGTTTCCACCTCTTGGTGCTTTCCAAAGGGAGATCCATCTGCTCAGCACGTTCTTGAAATCTTAGAGGTGATGGTTTGTTGAGACCTATCCAAGACAAGGCACCACAGTGCCAAGGGCACAGCAAAGCTTGCATCTGTGAGATGGTCTTCCTCCTGTTGGTTTTGGGTTGGGGAGAGAATATTTTATGCCATATGACCTAACACGCGTGCCGTAAGTTATGACAATAAGCAAGGCACCTGATAAGTAGGGCTTTAATTCAAGGCCACTTTGAGCCTGGGTATTATTGGGGAAATAATCCACAGGAAAGAATCCACAGAGGCCTTGTTTTCTGCTTAGTTTGCAGCTGTCTGGGGGAGGGAAATTGTCCCATCAGAGGTGCAAGGTCACAGCCACTCTCTGTAGCTGTGCTGGGAGAAAGGCTATGGCAAGTGTGGCCTGGGTTAGAGGAGAGAGCAGCTAGAGGGTCCACAGCCTAACGTCTCTACATAAGGCAGGGTATCCAAAGTATGGGAATGGTCTGCTGGAAGTGTTATTGAGTACTGGGCATGGTGACCAGCCTTTAATCCCAGCACTCAAGAGACAGAGGCCAGCCTAGTGTGCATGGCGAGTTCCAGGATAGGCAGGACTACATATAGAGATTTTGTCTAAACAAAAGGAAAGAAAGAAAAAGGAGTTGCAGAATTGCTTTTTTTACATTTTAGAAATGTAAGAATACTTAAACATGATGCAGAAGATATATGGCATAGTCACTGTTATATTGCTGTGAAGAAACACAATGGGCTAAAAAGCAAGCATTTAATTGAGGTTGGCTTACAGTTTCAGAGGATCAGTCCATTGTCATCATAGCAGGAAGCCTGGCTGCAGGCATGGAGCTGCAGCACTAGCTGCATCCTGATCCACAGGCAAAGAGACAGAGAGACACTGGGCCTAGCATGGCCCACCCTAGTGACACTTCCTTCAACAAGGCCACACCTCTGTTGTAGCCCGTGTGGGTCCAACACAGATTCCCTAACTCGGCTGGAACAGAGTCGCCGCAAGGAATAAGGAATAATCAGACACAGCTTACACGGTCATCATGGAAAGGCCCGATTTCTCTTCATTCTCTAAACATCTTATATATCCACATCAATTGAGGGGGGGGGGAGGGCGGGACAGGGACGACACATTAGGGCATTACCTAGGCAACCAGGTGGCTTGGCTCAAGTCACGACTGCATCTAGCAGTCAGATAGGCCAAGAATAAGCATCTCTATAAGACATCCTCCAAATTACAAAGGAAGGGAAGCACCAAACATCCTGACCAGTTTCAGTCAACACCTCTCCTCAGGAGATCTACATTTCTAACAAAAGAAGCTAGGAGCAGCACATCCTGGGTATTGTTAAGGTAGAGACAGTTTGTCTGCAGAGCTACAGGATCAGCTCAGACCGGGCTAATGGCCTTTGTGCCATATACCGAAATATGGGCCTACACAACTCCTGATCCCTCTCAAGTAGTGCCACCTCCCGTGACTAAGCATTCAAGTATATGAGCCTGTGGGGGGCCATTCTTAGTCAAACCACCGCAATATATATTCTGGACAACTGGCAAATTTGAATTTCCAAAAAATGTTAAATACCTAATGTCACACAACATAATTTCAGAATTCATTGTTGGACAACACACTATCTCAAATATGAAAAATAATGGTAGTCATATTACTTTGAAATGGATGTGTATTAATGCTTGTGTTCTGACAGTTGTGGGATATTTGAGTAACTATGTAAAGGTGTGTCACTGTTTTCCCTTGTCTGCCTAAGACACCTGATTGGTTTACTAAAGAGCTGAAATTGCAAATTCTGGATGAGCTTAGATTACAGAAGACCCTGGCTCAAGCACATACAAAGCATACAAAAAGGAAAGAAAAAGAAAAAAATCAGATTATTTGTGTGCAATATTGTTCAAAATATACCTTCTTTTGGTAAATGATGTGGTGTTTCCCCCAGTGTTTTTAGGGTACAGGTAAAATCATCCCAAAAGACTTCATGATCAGAGGGGTAAGGGCTTTGAGGAAGACAGTTATTCAAGGCTGGACTGAGTAGGAGGAGCCTGGAGACTTGGCTCTAGGCTTGAACATTGAGTGACAGGGGCTTCAGCTCTATGTCTTGGCCTATAGGTAAACGATATGGAAGCAACATCCAGGAAACCATTAAAAAGACTGGCAGTGACCTCACTGCCATCGCTGTACAAGTGCAGAATCAGCCAGTCCTAGACCGCACCCGGCAGGTTGTTTCCAGTGGGGAAGGGACTACTGATGTATTGCTGGGGTAAAGGAATGGTGAAAAAAACAATCCTTTCGGTCAATAACTAAAAGGTGGTATCCTGCAGGAATACCCACAGGCTGAGGCAACCCACATTGAGTTGCCCCCATTATTTCCATACAAACAATTAATGCTCTAAGATCTTGCAGCAGCCTCCATTCAACAGACTTTTTTTTTTTAAACAAAAAAAGATAGGAGTATTCCAGGAAGAAGTGGATGGCACCATGCATCCTGTCTCTAGCTATTTCTGGAACTTATTTTGTAGATCAGGGTGGATTTGAACTCATAGAGATTTGCCAATCTCTGTCTCCCCAAGTGCTGGGATTAAAGGCTTGTGCCACCGCACCTGGCTTTTTATTCCCTGGGCTAATTAACCATCCCTTTCACCACAGGGCAATTCTTTTTGATGTGTCCCCATCTTCCACAATGAAAAAATTCCTGACCTAGCTCCATCTTGACCTAGCTCTATCTGTATAACCGAATAAAGTCAGTTATTGAAGCTC